ACATTTTGCATACAAATCCCCATCGAGTAGGGCGCAGTCACCCAGTTTCGGTGGAAGTGTGCGAGTTCGATAGGGATTCAAGTAGGAAGGGAGCGTCTCAGCTTTCTCTGACCAAGACCATTCGACTCAGCACCCCGGAGACTGCAACTGGTGAAATTTTAATTTTTGCCTTAACTTCCCCTTTAAGCGCTTACCAAAGTGTGTGGCATCTTGCACCTGCATGATTGTGATTACAGGCAAGCCACATTATCATTATCATTCTTTCACACAGCCTTGCTTGACTTCCTGCCATATCATATTTCTTTTCTCACTCACGGACCATGTGAGTTTGGCACATTTTCCATCCAGGACTTTTGCACCCACCAGACCTCAAACCTTCACAGATTCCTTCCTATGCTGCTGTATAAATACCACACTAGCTGTGCATCACTGTAATCAGTTGTCTGAAGATTGCTATAATTATGGCATAAAACTTTAAGTTACAGCCATCAAGACGCGTGGTTTTTCTGTGACTCGTGTGTATCTATGTATCTATGTACAACATGTGGCAACATCATCTGTAGAAGGCGATGTGCATCTAGACAATGCATATTGTTCAGGAGGCAAAGGTAGGGTTTCTCACTGATTAGGCGATGGCCATCCTGTTGGATGAGGCGAGCCAGAGTGGTTTGTGCCCGGGCGGACAAAGCGCTTGTAGATCACACAATGACACATGGAGTCCAGCACTCCAGAGGGATTCCGGAGGAAGCCGAGATACTGCGATCCTCGAACAGCCAACTTGGAAACATAAACCAGATCTCTTCAAGACATTGGACTTACGAGCGAGTTTGAGGTGACGCAAGTAACTCATTATCGTTTTCCAGGCTAATGAAGCTAAGGAAAAATGTTGATAGGACAAACCTCCGGCTCTTCAACAACATTCTCAAAACTAATGGTTTCGCGACTAAACTTCCGTACCTTCTCCTCAGGTGATAAACAAGCAAGAGCAAACAAGAGCAAATACAATGAATTATGAACTCGGATGGTGAGCCAATAAAATTATGGTGAAAAAGGAGAAGGACAAAATGTTGCGAGTTATGCTAACTGTCCACCAACCACCATTTTGTCGCACTCGTTGACTGTATATAATCTGGTTACGTTGGTGGACAGTTAGTCATAACTCGTAACATTTTTCCTTCTCCTTTTTCACCGTAATTTAATTTAATTGGCTCACCATCGGAGTTCAACTTTGCACACCGTATGAGCCGCCATGACCTATTCGGCAAAACGTACGTCATGTGGAACAACTTGTTATTGCACATAACTAGTCTATCATATTTACATGATACAGTGTAGTGAAGTTCAGTAGAATGCTGACGTTTCGGTTTGTCACAATTCGTCTTCGCTTAGCTTCCCCTTTCTTTGTTTACTACATAAACTTGAGCCTCCCAAGTTGGGTGGTTTGTTACGTCGTCGAGTTGTAGTAAGGCCGGTGTCATATAGTAGAATGACCCCGTAGTGGAAGGCCCCCCGGTCATTGTACTATATAGTAGATTGCCCCCGGGGTCACTCTACTATATAGTACAACGACCCCCCTCGGCCGCTATTTTAGTAGAGGTCCGTGAACTGCTGAACTCCTGAATAATCCAAAAGGAGCAAGGAGCACACAGAAAACGCAAAGGAACACTGAACTTGCAAACTTTCTTCCAACTCCAAACCAAAACAATCCAACACAAGGTAGGATGTTCATGTCTCCTAAAGAGGAAAAGTGCGCGACCTATGTACAAATGTTGTGGACTTTTCACCACATATTCCCACAATCAAGAGTACATAACCCCGGACTCTTGCCACAATCCATGATGTCCACGTGGAATCTGTGGTGTAAACTCCATCTCTTTCTACCTGCTTGTGCGAAACGACAAGTCTGGTGGACTCTGTAGTAGAATGACAGGGGGCAATCTACTATATAGTAGAACGACGCCCCGGTCATTGTACTATATAGTAGATTCCCCCCCGGGGTCACTCTACTATAATTATAGTACAATGCCCGGGGGTCCATCTGCTGGGGGGTCATTCTACTACAGTACACCGGTATGTCCAATAGTCTTACTAGTTTCGTCATCATCCAGTAACGTTTGGCATTTTTGTTGCCGTGGCGCGGAGCTCGTGCTCTTCTTCATTGCGCTTTCCTTCCCCTCTTGGACCTTTTCGAACCTGAGTCTTCCAAGTTGGGAGGTTGTTGGTTTGTGCGCCTTGGAGAAGTGTTGGAGCTAGGAGTCAGGTCGCCGTATGTCTCAGTACTCCTTATCAGTTTTCTGCCATTTTTGCCGCAACTCTGCTGTGATAGTTGCTAGGACTTCAATGTACACAACCAAGAGTGGCTCCACAGTAGCAGAACAACTAGAGGTGTCGAGCATGCAGAGGACATGTGCTACATGCACGGTGTTGAACAGCTAGTCGATCAACCACCGCACGGCTGCAACGCACTGGACCTGATTATATCCGACCTACCCGTAGAATCATTGGTCTCTGTCTTGCCACCTCTTGGCAAATCTGACCATGCCTGTCTACTTGCCGATTTCCAGATCCGTGTGTCACGCGAGCTTCCCATATCATGAACTGTATGGAGGTATCAGCATGCTGATTAGGCCAGGCTTCGTCACTTCCTCAGAACCACCAATTGGGCAGCTATGGCTCGAACTGATCTAGACCTGTCATGCACTGGCATCTCAGAGAGGATCCTGGCGGGAATGAAGAGATTCATACCCTCTAAAACCCTGAAAACCCATGCATTCGATCCTCCATAGTGGACCCTGAGTGCACTGCTGCCACAGTGAGGAAATGACGTGCATGGAGATGCCTGAGAGATGACCCGTCTGAAGACGATCGGCAGTCAGCTTACCAAGATGCTAGGCTCTCAACGGTTGCCTGTCTCAAAACTGCGAAGAGTGCTTTCATGGCGAAACTGAGACAGACAATGACCTCAAAGTACGGCTATTTCCATTATTTTCTTCCTATGCAAGTCACAACTCCTGTTTTGAGTTGTTTTTATTCTCTCTTTTTCTTTCCCTACTAGTTGCTGTTACCCTCACTGATCCTTATGCACATATATACAGCATTCCCTCTCTAGTGGGACCATTGTTATTAGGCTAGGGCCTGTTTTGGACTTCCCACTCTAAATAAAGAATACAAATAACAAACAAACAAAGCAGCTGCCACCCAGTGACTGGTGGCACACCGTCTAGTGTGCCTCTGGCAATGGGTGTAGTCAAACTGTTCCGACAATACGTCATCCCGATGGACTTGAGTACACAGCCAGCGCAGACAAAGGAGAATGCATGGCCCGCTATTTTGCAAGATGACCTGTCAGCCCCATTCCCATATGTCAAGCCTCGAAATTAACAGGCTCTTTCGGATGTCCGTTTCCGTGTGGCTGTTGTCGAGCGCACCCTTCGGCAGTTCAACCCATCAAAGGCAACCGGGCCGGATGGGATACCGGCACGAGTGTTGAAAACCTGTTCTGCTGAACTGTTTCAACCTATTTCTACACTGTTCGCACGGTGCTTCCACACTAGGATACAGCCCAAGACATGGTATATTGCCAACATAGTCCCTATATTCAAACGGAAATCAAAGTTTCTACCCTCCAATTACCGTCCAATTTTGCTCTTGTGTATTCTGGCCAAACTGATGGAGACAATTATCAACCGAACATTAACTAATTTCCTCGAGTCGAACAACGTCTTCTCCAAAAGACAGTTTGGATTTCGCCATGGCCATCGTGTAGCCGACCTCCTTTCCAGCCTCCACCATCAGTGGCTGCATACAGCCGGGGAGAAAGGCGTAGCACGCATACTCGCCATTGACATAGCCGGCGCGTTTGATTGTGTATCACACCCCGGTGTGCTACACAAGTCCAACGTATACGGCCTACGTGGGCAACTGCACCAGTGGCTCAGCAGCTACCTCGGTGAATGCTACCATCAAATGGTCATTTGTGGCCAGACATCCTCAAGGCTCCCATTTCAGGCTGGAGTCCCCCAGGGCAGTATTCTGGGTCCGACTCTCTTCCTTATATACGTGAACGACTGCGAGGACCACCTACCAGCCGGTGCTGACCTAGCCTCATTCGCAGACGACACTACACTGCATACCAACATCACCCCCCCCCCCCCCCCCATCCAACAAGATACCACCCAAGCCCTCCAGCTAGCAGTCAACAACATCTCCCTCTGGGGTCAAGAATGGAAGATAGATATTTGAACCAGCCAAATCCCAAGTAGTGATTGCCAGCTTCCACCGCACCCAATGGAACATGCCACAGATTGATTTCAACGGATCTAACCTGAGGGAACAAGTGGAGCTCAAAATCTTGGGCGTCAGTTTTGATGGTCAGCTTATCTTCCGGCAACACAGCAGCGACTTGGCCCTTTGTGTTAGGCTTTCCACGTTTTTGACGCGCCCGGTCGCATCCAAGCCTACAATGCCTTTGTGCGCCCAGTGATGGAGTACTGCCCCATCATCTGGATGTAAGAAGCCCGATCCCATCTTGCAAGACTCGACCGTGTGCAAGCCCACTATGCAATTTTTTTGTCTTTGCCTGCGAGCTGTGTTCATTGTAAATAATAAAAAAAATTCACACTCGCTGACTGTATAAGGTCTGGTTACGTTGGTGGACAGTTAGTTAGTCGTAACTCGGAACATTTTGTCCTTCTCCTTTTTCACAATGAAATATGTCCAGCAATGTAGTGATAAAACCGGGTCAAAGCAGAATAGCTAAAAACAACAATGATTAATACGTGACCAATATACACCATGCATATACATACATCATTGTTCTTGCTCTCATTTGCTTGTGCCGCTATAATACCTTGTTGATGCGGAAGGAGACAATGTACGGGAGAAGATATGTCACAACATGAAGAGAAGGCACGGAAGTCTACTCGCAAAAAAAGTATTCACCTGCGTAATTCTTCTTTCTGCTCATAAAACGAGCATTCATCAGGGATAATATGACTTACATTATTCTTTGGTTCCAACGAATTTCCAGAAGTGAGAAGATATTTTACTACAGAAACATGACCATTCTCTGCTGCATCATGTAATGGTGTGTTCCCATTCTGAAAGTAGCAGCAAAATTAAAGACAAGACATGTACACACATACCCACAGTCATACACATGTTGATGCACACGCACGCACGCACGCACGCACGCACACACACACACTCATGCATGCACTCGCTTTGCATGGCCATCTATGCAGAAGGATATTGACACTTGTTACCGTTCCTGACGACATCAAGCCGTTCCATCGTGAGCAAGGCCAGTTGTCTCACATGCAAGGTATCCTGTGCCACGGCTTTTTGCTGGTTGTTTCGTCCGTGCTACAGCCTGAGATCCTCCAGAAGCTGCAAGATGGTCGCCAAGGTGTAACAAAGAGTAAAGCCCGTAACCGCTTCTTGTCGTAGAGGTATCTCTGCCGAGGTGTACGTCGCCAAGTGCACTACCTGTATCAAACAGCGCCATCAGTCCCCAGAGCCACTCCAGACAACTCCATTCCCCGAGCGTCCATGGCAGCGTATCGCATCGGATCTCTGTGATGTCGACGGCCACCAGTACCTGATCACTGTTGAGTATTCCTCCCGTTACATTGATGTCGCTTGTCTCTCATCGACTACGTCACGAGCCGTCATGACTCACCTGAAGAGCATATTTGTGGTCCACGGCTATCCGGAGACCTTCGTCAGCGATAACCTCGATCAATTCGATCAATGTTTCGCAGCCAAGTCGCTCTCCCCTCTGCCATTGGGAGCGAAAGTGTGGGTAGATGACAAGCACGAGGGAACAGTGGTTGAGCAACTCACCGATCGCTCCTACAACATCGCCACCTCATCCGGTCTTCTGTGAAGTTGCGCCAGCAGTACCACCGGCCGTGCTAGTCCCGCAACAACAGCCTGCATCTATGCTACAGCCAACTCTCCGTGCTCCCAAAAAAAATCCAGCCACCGCAGAGATTGATCGTTACCATGTTACTCTCTCTGGCTTCATACTATTGCTCTCCCGCACATTGAATAGTTCTGTTCTATATGATTACCCGTCTTGCATTTGCTCCCTAACAGTTTCTTCACCAACTGTTGTGTTTCTCTCTTTGAATTTTTTTTAAAAAAGTGGGAGATGTCATATCCTGTACTATAATGTTGTCCTTTCGCCCATTCACGGCATATTCCTTCCCCTGTCTATCACCATGTATAGATGGTACACGACCTCGCACTACCCCGTGCTACGCACAATACCATACTCTGCTGGACAACACCATGCGCTGCTGGGCATGGCGTCCCTGACTCTTCACTATATCTACACTCATCTGTATGTAAAATAGACCACTTCCTTATGTCAGTACATGACACAACAGTTTGCATGACCTCAGATTGACTTGTACACATTTCCCGTATGGTAGAGTTCATTTATACACCCCGTGTTTGTATACATCTCCTAGGTTCAGTGTATCTGCTCATATACATGTGTGTCCCTGTGCGGACTGTACCGTATCTATGAATTTCCATTAAACGCCTTCTGTCTCTGCTTATTGCTTTTTCCTTTTCTCTCCCTCTCTGTTTCTTTCTTCTTATCTTGGCTCTTTTCCTTTGGCATTCATACTGGTTGGTAACACTTTTCTTGCTCCTCAAGTAATTAAGACTACAGTGCAAATCTATTGAGCACGCCAAAATGTCATACAGAATCGACCGACAGACATTAGTGGTGACCCTGGATGGCAACCCTGTTGAGATCCTAGTTGAAACAGACCTCCAGCTTCAACGTCTAGGTGGACCTGTGTCTCTTCCACGCGTGCATGTGAAAGCAAGTGTTGTCGGATCACTCGCAGCTGTTGGCGCATACGTACATCTCTGCGCAGATGTAATTGCTGGCATCGGAGGTGTCAGCATAGGCCATGACGAAGCAGGTGAGTTCAACCCAGCTGCATTTGGCCCGGGCACAGCAACTTTTGGTATCACAGCAACAACCGTGTGTGCCGGCGAACACCCGGCATGTCATGTGACGTTACGAGGGATGATATAGGGGTAATGCTAGAAGCCGACCACAGTCTAATCCGATGGGATCAAGACACCAAGCAGTGGCGCCGGTAGGACGGACGGACAAGCGCCACCATGGCCGATCGGATCAGTCATTTGCCAGTACGCATACAAAGATCTGTTCGATGGTCAACAGGCTCAACCCTGTGCAGAAGTGTATTCGTGGGTAGACAAGGGTTGGCTAGTAGAGCTTGATGAGGCCACCCACGGATGCGTTGGAGACTTCATTCCACTATTGACGAAGAGCCAGAAGGCTAGCACTCCGGTACGTCCGTACCTAGACTACCATGGCCTGAATAACCTGATCCACTCCAGGCCCGGTACAGATGCGCCCGCATGTGCGGAGAAGATCCGTTAATGGCGGAAAGTCGGAGAGCAGTATGAGCTCATCGACATACACAAGGCTTACCTGCAAGTGCACGTCGATCCTGCTTTTTAAAGCTACCAGGCAGTCGTGACAAGCTTTACGTGATGACGTGAGTGTGCCTTGGGCTAGCAATTGCCCAGAAAGTTATGTTACACGGCCTTGGCCTGAGGTGGACAATTATGTTGATGATGTGCTGACACAAGCATCGACACGAAAAGCAGTAGCTGCTGAACTGGCGTGCTACAGCCTGCCCACAAAGCCACCAGTGCTACTGTCTATTGTTAAAGTGATAGTTTGGGAGTAGATATACGATACTAATGATGTATTTAGAGCAAGTAAAATTAATAGTATGCAGGTGACTGGTGACTGGAAATCAAGTCAGGACCCACACTTCAAGCTGAATCTGGTGCAGCAGCTTGAGGTGCGGTGGCGAAGATGTTTGTCAGGTGCATCCGCCATCGCCGTCTATCAAAATATGACTAAGGGGCCGTCCGGGGTTACCGATTGTTTTTACAAAACGAAAAGTGTTAGTACTTTTCAGCCCCCACCCACCCACCCACCTTTTCTGCAGGTAAAACGAATTCCAATAAAATATTGATGTCAATTTTCGACATCCAGAAGTAACTGGGCATTCTCCATCAGCATTCAATAATTATTTTCAAAACGAAACTCCATCAAACCCACCCACCCACAAACGAAAACATTTCGTTTTGAAAATATTATTGGTAACCTTGGACGGCCCCTAAGCGGTCAACAACTTGAATGATTTGGAAACTTCCAAGATTTTCAACCAAAAGCAAGAGGACAAAGCCGGGACTCCGATATGCAACAGGACTCAAACCAAACAAATCGCTCCACGCTGGCTGTAATCTCGTATGAGTTTGAAAGCGCAGTTGCCGCCCGGAAAACAGCAGAGAAAAGGCACCGAAACCAGTGAACCATGCATCTATCTGTCATGTACGGTAAGTGATGAAACCTTTGCCTTGGTTCTGACAGTGACAGCCGCGTGGCGCGTGATCAGCTACAGTTAGCGCTAGCGCCAGCAGTAGGTAGTACAGGCCGGACCACGCGCCACGCGGCTGCATGGAGTAACTAATACTTGCACACTGACTGCAACGGGAAAGTGCAAGCACGTGTAGTACAATGCAGTACTTGCAGATCTACGTAGCATGCACCCAGTCTGGGCTGAGGGCAGTTGTGGTTGTTTGATCATACAATGCATGCCAAGCCAGACCCATGGGCGAAGGTTTTGAGGGGGTGCTTTGGCACCCAAAGCACCCCCCCCCCTGCTAACGCCCCTGAGTCCTGGGGCTTGCACCCCCCCCCCCCCGACCAGACAGATTAGAGTAGGTCCAGGAGGAGTTGATGGAGGACCGGCACACCAACCTTCAGCAGCTCCGGCACAATCTCTGACATACCACCAGCTTTGCCATTCTGTAGGTGCCTAATTGCCTGAGTCAGCTCATCCTCCGATGGTGGCAGTGAGAGGGAGTCCTCGACCTCACGCTGAGGGATAAGTTGCAAGACATGCGGATCACGGCGTACACTTTGCAGACATTCAAGACACCCAAGAAATGCCCATGCCATGTGGACTGCTGCTCCTGAACAGATTCGCAAAGAACTCCATCCGCATTGCGGATGGATTTGACGGACAGGGGTTGCAAGCCCCCAAAGCAGCGTTGCATGTCGCGAATGGCAGACCAGACAGCTTTGCCACTGAAACGTGCACGGTGCACCAAAGCCGCTTTGTCCATCAGCCGGGGTGTTTTTGTCTTCTGAATACTAGCACGAGCCCAGCCAAGCGCTTCTTTAAAAGCCCGGTGATCAGAGTGCCTGCCGCTTCTCAGCCATTGGATATACAGGGTATAACGAGACTCCAGTAGAGGCTCCAATACAAGGGCATTGTCACGGAACCAATCTGGCATCCGCCGCTTGTCCCGACTAACCACCTGCTCTGCCGCGTCAACAGCACTCTACACCAATTACAGTCCACAGACGAGGCGCGATCATACGTGGATAAACGAGATTCAAGACTAGCACAGTACTCAACACGTACAGTAGGCACACTCTCAGCCTCCTCTTCACTCGTGAAGGGCTTCCGATTGAAATGGTGAACACCAAAATTCCGCGGTCTGGAACGAGCATCATGATGGTACGGTTGCTGCACAACGTCAGGTAGCCGGTATTTCATGCGGACAAGATGGTGGTCTGTGCTACACTGTGCAGTGCGCATCACTTGACAGTCCATGCAACGTTTACGGTGTTGTTGGCGTACGAACACATAATCTATACAATGCCACTTTTGTGATCCAGGGTGTTGCCAGGTGTACATGTGAATGCGTTTCTTGGGAAACAGTGTGTTACATACTGTGAGCTGTGGACGCGCCATTAATGTGAGTAGTCTATGATCAACATCGTTCACATCACCAACACCATGTGATCCAAGCACTCTCTGCCATATATCTAGTTGCTGTGAGCCAAAACCAACACGAGCGTTGAAATCCCCCAGGACACTCTATGTTTGCTCTATGTTGCGCCAACACACGTGCTCTATGTTGACCCACCATACGCCAGCACCCGTAAAACTCCAAACTCTGTGCCCTGTGTGTTGGTGTACTTCATAGTGGTGTAGCATCTGCGTGTGCATGTGGGATGTGGGCTAACATTCAGAAATGAAATTGTCGGCATTGACCCTTAGATTTGCTGGGGGTGAGCACTCCATCGTTGAGATCGCTGTTCGTTGACTGATCTGTTGTTCCGTCAGACTGCTGCATATCCACTGAGTTCCCAGACCTAGGGTACTTGTGGAAGTTCCATTTTCGACTGTAGTACGAAGATGGCCAAAAACCTTCGTATTTACAAAGTCAATGCTCCTTGGAGTGACGTTTGATGCCCATCTATCATACTCAGAGCATCTTCGAGGAACTGCAGTGCGTGCCACACAGCAAATTGGTTTCTTCCGGAAGGCGTGCCATGTCCTGGACCCACCGGGCCGGGCCACAGCATACCGGGGGTTCATTCGGCCTCTAATGGAGTACTGCCCACTTGTATGGATGAGAGCTGCGGCTACCCATCTCTCACAGCTGGATCGAGTCCAGCATCGTGCCCTAACCCTGATTGGGACAGGGGCTCCAATGGACACTCTGTCCCTGCGGCGCCGTGTGGCCGGCCCCACAACCCTGTACAAGCTGAATTACATCACAAGCCCACCAGTTCTTGCAGCGACACTCCCAGCCAGAGCCATCGCACCCGCCATCGCGCCTGCCACACATCGCCGCTCGGCAGCCAACCTTGCGGACGAGCTTCAACTCCAGACAGCCCTACCTGCCAGATCTTGCAATTTTGCGCTGCGCTCTTTCCCGGAGTGCCTCATCGAAGCCTGGAATGAACTGCCAGCCACTCTCCTCCACGATGCATTGTCTCCCAAAGGGATGCAGCAGTTCAAGGTTCTGACCTACCGCTACCTGAAATGGTCTGGGTGGTCATTGGCCACGGACATCGCCCCCTAGGCTACTGCCAGTATGACCCTGTTCCTGGTCTCGGAGCACATACAGATAAGGCACGGACGTTTACTCTCATCAAACTCCCAATCCATACTATACTATGTCTTTATCTATCTCTAACTCTCCTCCATTCTCACCCTAATCTTTCGTCAAAACTGCACGGCAATCAGCCTCTACTTTCACCTCAGCATCATGCTCTTGATACTGCTATCTTTGTACTTGTTTGCGTACTTGTCTGCACTCATATCTTGGAATAACTCGCAAACTAACAAGTTTCCTGGTTTCCTCCCCTCCCTCCTCTCTTTCCCACCCTCAGAGTTCTTGCTCTCCTGCTCCCTGCCCTTCCACTCCCTGTTTAGTTTCCTTTGGTGCACATGTGCAGCTGTGATTCCGAGACCCTTGGTCGGCTGAGCTTCACAGGTCCCACCCACTCCGTCCTGCTGGATATGTACCCTTGTGTCGAGTTCTCCTCCTCCTTTTAGTTCATCATGCAGTGAGTGTTCATTAGTAAGAATAAAAAATAAATAAAAAATACTCGTCCTGTTGAGAATGAGTCAGGCTGAGTGACCTTTCTCCTTGGGAAATAGCGTGCAATCATGGATTTGCACCTTCACGCCAGCCTCTTGCGCCCTTCGTTATACGTATTGACAAAGGGTATATGCATCGCAATCCTTCCGGAGGTTGCCCACTAACAGAACAGCCTTCCTTCCTTTTGGCTTCTTGGTGCAGACCAGCTGCCATAATTTGCTGCCTTCTGCATCCTCTTCGAAAGTAGGGAGCATTCTGGAAAGTCCTTGTTTGTCAAGTTTGGCATCAGTTGGAGTATCTGGGTCCATTTGATGCACCCTGGACGCTTCGCTCACGCTGGTAACTTGTTCGCTACGTACAACTGAGGAGCAGGATTCAACCGAATATCGTACTAGTTCCTTCTGAGGGTAGCCAGCTACGGGTACGGGTGCGCCAGGGCTGGAAGCTGCAACACGCTTCTGTTTCTTCTGGGATGATTTTTGCACCGAGGGAGATCCTTGGCGTCTTTGGCCGCCATTACTGTCGTCTTGAGCAGACTGGAAAGCCGTCATCTCGTGTGTGAGCTCTTCTACCTTCCGCGTAAGGTGGTCGCAACATTTAGAAGTCGTTTCTCCCTGTCTTCAGCTGCACTGCGGTCTAGCTCGAGCATTTCAACGATCTTCGGAAATTAAAAGATTTCTCCATACTCTGGTTTGAACTTGCCGTTTCGAACGTGGGGGACACCAGATCTGCCGGACACTCGACACCTACTGGCACGCCTGTCGCTATTGCCCAGGACAGTGTTGTACCTGGCATGGGACGGTCTCTACACAACTAAAAAAAGCCCAAAAAAGCCCAGACGGGGACAACTGTGTGAGGGTAGGCTCGACACGGGTTGTTTCGGGAAGGGACTGGAAGTTCATTTACAAGTTGGTGCGCGTGGGCATTACATCTTCGAAACATACTACGGGTGGAATGGGCTGTTTGGTAGTGGGGCTGCTGGGGTGTCAACATCCTCTCTAGAAGGGGATCTGCATCTGTACATTGCATATTGTACAGGAGGCAAAGGTAGGTTCCCTCACCGATTAGGCGATGGCCACCCGGTTGGATGAGGCGAGCCAGAGTGGTTTGTGCAGCGCTCATCCACACGACAATGCCATTTGCCAGGACCGGGGGGGGGGGGGGGGGGGAGCGCTTGTAGATCATACAATGGCACCTGGAGTCCAGCACTCGAGAGGGTATCCGGAGGAAGCATAGATGCTGCGATCATCGAATTGCCAACGTGAAACCATATACCAGATCTCTTCAAGACATTTGACTTACGAGCACGTTTGAGGTGACGCTAGTAACTCATTAAATGTTTTCCAGGCTAATGAATCGAAGGAAACCTGCTCGTTATGTCGATAGGACAAACCTTATGCTCTTCAACAACATTCATAATAATCTAATGGTTTCGCGAATAAACTTCCGTACCTTGTTCTCAGGTGATATACAAGTAAGAGCAAACAACAGCAAATACAATGCATTATGTACAACAATGAGGTGATACAACCGGATCAAAGTAGAATAGCTAAAAACAACGGTGATAAATGCATGACCAATATACATCATGCATATCCATAATCCATTGTTCTTGCTCCCGTTTGCTCGTGTCGCTATATCACCTTGTTGATGAGGAAGGAGACAATGTACGGGAGAAGGAACGTAACAACATAAGGAGAAGGCACGGAAGTTTCCTCGCAAAAGTTTTGTTTTTTCACGGCTTAGCGTAGCGAAAGAGTGCAAAAAACGTATTTTTCACTCACAAATATTTTCGTGCATTTGCTCTTGTTCTGCGCAACTCCGTTGAACCTGCCATCGTGGACTTTGTTTTTCCTCGTGGTAGTTGAAGTTGCCCGCCCACCCACCCTGGTTTCATGGGAGTCGTCCGCTGTTCTTCTTGACAATCTATTCCTATGTGTGTGGCTTATGATTATGACATACACCGGTTATTATATACCATTCCTTGCTATCTCTATTCTTGGGTCTGACTGGCAGCGGGGCAGGAATTAATGAAAATAGAAAGGTTTTTTGGCCGAAAGGCGTGTTTTTCCTCTAGCCCGGTTGAGCGGTCGCGGCTAGGAATGTAGGGAGTCATTGTTTTTCAGGCGCTCCCCTGCTGCCCACTCACCCATGCTCACCACTGGCCATGCTGTTTCACTTGATTTCACGGCCTTTTCTCCCGCTTGCTGGCGGTTCTTTGATGGATTTAGATGTTTTTCGGCTATTTATCTATTCTTTGGCTGCGAGTGTGGTTTTTTGCTTCTACTCATTTCTGGAAAACCACCACGGTGGTGAGTGTGATTGCTCTGGTAGACCACTACTGAGTGTGATTGCTCTGGTAGACCACTACCCCATGTACTGAACAGTCGCTTTGTGAGTGAAAATTTTTTAATTTTCATAATGATTTTGAAGAGCCTGAAGTTTGTGCTAATACTTAGTATTATAGCATAATTGAATCGCACGAAACTTTTTTGTGGACATAATTTGTGAAAAAATTGCCAATTGTTAATTTCTAGCGTAAAGCAGACCCACAGGCATGATCAATACCCACTGAATTTATTCACCTGCGTATTTTTTCTTTCTGCTCATATACAAACAAGAATGCATCACGGATAATATGACTTACATTATTCTTTGGTTCCAGCAAATGTCCAGAAGTGAGAAGAGATTCTACTACAGAAACATGACCATTCTCTGCTGCATCATGTAATGGTGTGTTACCATCCTGAAAGTAGCAGCAAAATTAAAGACAAGACATGTACACACATACCCACAGTCATACACATGTTGATGCACACGCACACATGCACACACACACACTCATGCATGCATGCACTCACACACAGACACATCCAAAAACACACACACACACAGGATTCCTTTGTGGGACCCCTCAGGATTCTCTCCCCTCTCAGGATTCCCTTGTGGGACAAGACAAAGACTGATTATCTACAACGAGCATGCGTATAATAGATGAGAGAGAGACAATACGGAGAGAGACAATACGGCGACAAGAACTATACACAACATCTCCCTTTCCAGGTAAGAAGAGGGGGGGGGGTGAGAAGTTAGAGAGAAAAGGCATGTGTATACAATATATCCCTTTTTTGGGCGAAAAAAAAGAACAAGGATAATACTA